CCCCTACCCCCCCCCCCCCCCAACCCCCTACCATCTTCCACTACCCAAAACAGTAATAAAAAAAAATTACTTACCGGCATGCCCCTGCAACGAGTGATTGGCTTCTTCGCTCGGCACGACGGTTTCCTCGAGAATGCTTTCAGAGGCTGTCTTCACCACTCCCATGACGAGTACTCAGTGAGAGCAGGTTATCGAGATAAGTCCCGGTGTCTTTCGTGTGATTCGTGCCGCGGTGTCTGCCGTGCAGAGGAAGCAGCGCCGGCGTCGACGTCTCGGTGTTCCGCGCATGCGCGGTTCGCTGACGTCACGGGCAACCCCTAGGCCCCTATACGATACGGGCTAGGCCAGAAACAGGGATCCACAGGGAGAGGGCAGGGAGAGGGCAGGCTGGAGGTGAGCTAGCTGGCTTGCGATGGATAGGGATGGCAGGGGTTGCTGCTGCTACTGCTGATGCTGATGCTGGTGAGGATGCTGAGACCACTAGGGTGGGGTGCGGCTACGTCGACGAGCACAGGGGCAATGTCGACCAACTGGGTCTCGGTGAAGGTCCCGGCTTTCTTTCCCGATAACGGCTCACCCTCTGCTCTCCATCCCTCCTCTTCATCCCTCTCCAGGTGATACTCTCTCACTCCCATACCTTCTACCGATACTCAATCTCTTTCTCCCTCTCTCTGGTTAGATATCCTCTCGCGTCCTCTTCTACCTACAGACCCACATCACTTCCGCCCTGGGCAACTGTGCTCATACTTTTTTTCTCATATCAGTCTACCTACCACCACATGATCCTTCTACTCGCACGTCCTCGTCACCTCCTTCAACCCAGTCAACTGTACTCCACACCCTACTCCACTCTGATCTCCTCAACACGAATACACTTTACCTTCAGTCGCTATCATCCGTCTCCTTCACCCTTTTCAAGGTCTCCTTCTGTCTCTTTACCTCTTTACCACATGATAGCCCGGGCCTCCTCTTGTCATCCAACCAGTTGCAGTAGGTAGCTGAATATAACGCAGTACTTGTTGCACGCGAGGAACGCCGTATCCTATACCGGCCGTTTCCACCGAAATGCTCCTGCCAGACGGAGCCTTTCAAGGTCGCGATCGATCCGAGTTCACTCAAGGTCGACATTTTCTCAGGTTGCCTGGAGTACCTGCTGCAAGCTCAGCTCACAGAAGCGCACTATCTGCGCGCTTTCGATTGATCCCCGTGCGTGTAGCGATATCTGCACGTGGCGTGAATATTGTTTCAAGATCATCCTACGGATCGATGTAGCTTCATTGTATATATGGGCTCTGTTTTTATACTAACGAGGTCGTCCTTTTTACTATTTTTTTAACCACTCGCCTGGTTATTAATAAAAATTAATAGCCGTATGTAAACGTTATTGATGGCCGGTTCTTTTTCAGTCACGTATTTTTCGAAGATTTAGCGTTGGGCGTCGGGAGAAAAGAACCGAATGGAATTTAACGAATAGATGAGCGAGTGACTACATGACAGTTCTCAGTAATCTTGTACTTTGCGTCAAATAACATTTCGTGATATAAAAAACGAAGAATTTTGAAAAGAAAATAAAGAATATGTTTTTCACTTTTTTTATATCTATTTACTTATAAATTGGTATTTTGATATTATTAAAACTTTTCAGTTCGACATTGCTTTCAGATATTTTGAAAAATTAGGCTGCTGCTTCGAGGATTTCTTGTAATTCCCATTAGAGATTCGGTATAACGAATCTTAATTTCAGTCACGTCATTTTTAAATCCAGAAGTCGTGTAATCCCTTCGAGTCACGTATTGGCATATTCATAAATCTTATTTAATATTCCCGTATAGTACTATTTGAATTGTACTCAAATACGAGAAATACCCTAGCTATGAAAATTCGCACAAAGTGGAACAATGTCGTATACGCTTTACGTAACTCTATATGTTCCCAATGAAAAAGAAAAGGTTATAGAGAATCCCAAATCTCGGGCACAAGAAAAAGATCTCTGATGCAGTATGAGCTTCGTTATATTCGAATCACGAACAGAGCGATCCTCATATAAAAACACATTTTCTTTTATTCCTTTCGTGTAAAAAATATTAAAAGTATAGGAGAGATCGATTTTTCTATTTCAATCTAATATTTCCTTCAAATAAAGAACATCGACGTTCCTACAAGGCATTTCCTGTTTCATGGAAACTTGTATTTAAAAAATTTGAAAACTTCCCCAAAATGTCTCTCACTGAGATCCAACCACGGTAACATTGATCGATGGGAAGATTATAAAAAGAAAAAAAAGACCGTCACGTCAACTCGCCCTTAAAGTATCTACATAGAAAGCGGCTTGAATGCATGGCGTTGAATAGGGCCAGCATATTCAAACGTCATTCTCGTCCCGCGTGATTCACCATTATGAAAGTTTTGATATAAAAGGCTGAAAAATTCTCATGGTTTCGTGAGTAGCTACGGTGGCCCAGCAACACCCTAAAAATATAGCGGGAAATACAAAATTGTTTGAATTTTGATTTTGATACTTTATAACAAGCGAAAGTATGAATTTATATACGTGGTATTTTACATTTCAAAATGATAGCTCAAAATTTCATTGTTGCTCAAAAATTAGTTCAATACCGGGACTAGACTCACTTATCCCGATGCTCTAGTCTTTGACTGCCAAGGTCGCTCGAGTGAGGACGCCTCTCGCCGTAGGAGCGGCGAGGATATCGATTTAACTTGTTGCATACGTAAACAAAGGTACCTTCGGCAAAGAGGGGCGGGCTATACGTAATATAATAAACTAAATATAACATTACGGGAAGTGTGTAGCATTATCGTAATTAAAATTGTAACATGTTATAACGAAATATCCGAGATGGTGGTTGACAGGCTTGTGACTGACGGATGAATTTATGACCTGTAACGGTTGGGCAATAGTAATATTAATAGGCTTGAAAATAGGGCACACGGTTAAAAAAATGTATGAAAGATTTAACGTGAAAGTCGATAAAAATTAATTTAACAACGAAAATCTAAATGAATAATTAATAAAATTCAAACAAGGTAATTATGCAAAATATAAAAACCGGAAGTGACGAAGGACTGTGAATAAAAATAAATTAATATTTGGATTATAAAGTATTAAAAGCTCAAATTTTTGTATAAATTTCCTGATACAGGCTTTTTCAAAAATTATCCTTATCGGCTTACGGAATTCTCAATATTCTTTATAAATTTAATTTCAGTACCTTTATAGCGTGGTAAACGACACGAATCAATTAAAATTCTTGTGTCTAATTGATATTGAACGGAAATATACGTTTATAGATATATCAGACGTATTTTGCGTACTGACCTTGGTAACCCAGGGGAACAACGTTACCGAAACGTAAGTCTGTAAAACGTCATGCAATGAAATTAGAATTAGTATTTAATTAATTTACTAATGAATTACTATTTGAAAGCATTGACAGATTCGAAAGAATGACAGTATCTGTATGAAACTTTGCATGTCTTTTTAACTCACAATTTTCAGTGTATCATTTTTCAGTGTTTCCACGCACACAACTTCTAGTAGATTCTGGTTAAGCCTCGCAATCGATATTGAGCTTTATTTCTCTCGGAGCTATAAAAGCAAACAGAGACTCTCAAACGGCCAGGGCGCGTATGAAAGGAGCGACATTAAAAACAAAAAAGGGGATAGGAAGACTTACGGGTTACGAGTGCGGTCAAAATTGAGGATGATAAAAAATTTAATGCAGGACATGTTACTTTCATTGTAAGATCCTTACCAGTCAGTTTCGCAAGGATTACGCATGCCAGGATTGTGGATGGACCTTGACGTACAAGAGTTTAATATCTGCTACTATCTGTTGTTGACCTTCCTATGCGTGAACGATCATAAGAAAATTGTGAACGCTCCTTTACCATTGAGTTCGTTCAGATTTTTGGACAATATTGTATTATTTCCGCGAGAAAAATATTGAAGAAAAAAAATAGCCCTCAAGTATTTTTTTTTACGAAATATGTCTTCCTATTTCCGCGCAATAATGTTCATCCGTTAAGTACAAGGGAGGATAATTTTAAGTATTTGTTTGTTCATCTTTAAGAATACGAAGAGGAAATCGCATTAATTCACGTCACGGGGTATAACGTCATTCGGATAAATCAGTACTGTCCCAAGGTATAATCCTGACAAGTATTAAAATGACACCATCACCGTTGTCATTTTTCGTAATCGTCCTCGTAAACAAAATGAGACAGGGAAAAATAACAGTGAAATGTTAAATGAGGTAAAATTACAAGTTTTTGGAATGCACCTACCATTCCGTAATCTTCAGAGTCAAGATTGATTTACTGTAATCTGTTTAACGTGTCTCGTCCATATACAACATTGGCCAACCTTATAGGGTCAGTACACTAGTTTCCACCCAGATGGCAGCACAGTCTAGTCGTTCACTACACGGCAAGCTTTGATTATCGATATTTCCATTTTATTGCACACATTTAGTCCTAAATACACATATCAGAAGACTATCCTAGAAATTCCTTAAGGTCAATATACATAGCAACGACTTGTAGGTTGGTAACAGTGAAAGAAAACGGAAGGACTAATTTATTTTCCTATCAAAGAAGAAGGTGTGACTGACAAGCCAAGCACGGTCGGTCATCAAGTTGTATAAGGTAAGCACGCGAGGTTTTTCCAGAGATTGCAGCTCGTAATGTTCCTACCGTATATAGAAGCGAACGCAAAGTAAAGAGAAGAAAGGACAAAGAGTAAGAGAGATTGCAATCAGCAATAGAAGCCAAGGAATTTGCGTGGGCAGTAAAAATGAATTTTCACGTGACATCATGATGCCATTTGTTGCGACCGTTATTGAGGAGTCTGATATTCAAAATGAAATGCAATTAAGATTCTGCTGATTGAAATGCTTACCGCCAATATATCAAGGATTACGGTTAGTAACTTTCTACGAATTCACTCCGGTTGAACGCTCCTGACGATAAGGATGTAACTATATCGATTCCAGTCCATACGCGTATCGATAAATATTTGTCAGGACACGTTCTGAACTCCACGCTACAGGAAGCGGTAAGTTCAGTCCATGTTACACGAATGAGATTTTTCAACACTGTATCCTCTATTGACCACCTCAGGAATCTCTAATTACCTGTGTAAGCCATATGACCGTCTGCCGTAGATTCTTTATTAGATTCCTCGTAGAGAACCATTTCAGACACGCTAAGACATTTTCACGAATCACGAATGATTTGGGGAATGACATAAAAACTTGAACCGTTCTAATCTTTGGGATACGTGGGTAACTTGCGGGCTTTGTCAATGTTTACGATCTACAGATGGCGTGAGCGGCGTTATGTCTTGACGAACATACTAGGAGCAATTATGAAGATCATTAACGTTAGAAATAATTAAACACGACACGCAACGTGCAATTAGCAGTCGCCCTAAAAATTCCGGTCGAAAAAAAGTTTACTACGTTACTTGAGAACCGGCAAACATGGTGCCTTTGCACGATGATGCTGCTACTCAGTCATTTAAATTATTCATAGCCGGGCTGGAGGACGAGCTGCAAAGGAATCGAGAGAGAATGGAAGGGGTAACTGCGAGGAATGGTTAATTAAGAATTTTACGTTAGGAATATTATTACGTAACAAAGATTTAAAAACAATAGTCTGTTTACTTACAAAACTTTAAACGGCTTTATTGATCTTTATTGTACAATTCGATGCTCAAGCATCCTCGACGTATAGTAGGTATGTTCTTTCGGTACACCTAAAAAAGAAAAAAGGACTGGCGCAGACCTTAATCCCTCCTTTTTCAATTAGTCATTTCCCGAGCATGATGCGGTTAGTTAATTTTCTTTTTTTTTTGTTTTCATATGCGTAATGTATACTCTCGTAGCACCTTATCTTAAATAAAATATAAGTTAATAGTTTTGTAGGTTAGACCGTATGATGAAGTTGAGCAGGTGGTGTACGTTCCGGCGATTATGAATTCCCATTAACAGTGCTGACAACGGACCAATCCCACTTCGTCGCAGTTCATACACTTCAGGGCGACGAATTCCGTGGTGAAGTCGTTGCGATGAACGGACTTTTTGCTGCCGTTGCAAACTGGACACGGTAGAAGTCGATAGCCACCACAAATTTTACAGGTAGTACACGCGTCCGCACTCTGTGAGAGAATAAGAGAGTTAAAAAAATGAATATCGTTTAAGAAGCTTTCATTTGTTAGTTCATTTCCGTCAAGCGGCTTTCCCGCGATCGAGTAATTGCTCTGAATGAATTTAGCCGTTACGGGTTAACCACGGGAAATTTTATCGATCTTACTGATTCAATGATTTGTCACGCTGATTTTGCGTCTCTTCTTCAACGTCAATATCAATTCGACCCTTAAGATGGACTGTACTTTCTCTTTCTCTCTCTCACTTGCACTTGTAATAGAGACGATTGAAAAATGGGATAGTAAATAAGGTTAAACGAAACAAAGAATACAATTCAAAAAAATCAGGCGAACAATGTAAAAAAAAACGTTTTGCAACAGTGACGGATTTACATGAGAGGAAGCTGGATGAAAAAAATTTTGTAAAAAGAAAAAAACGACAAGGATTCGACACAGGGTTGAATGACTGTAGCATTAAAAAATCGGTTTCGTAGTTTAGACATAAAGTGGTAATCAACAAATATATATACAAATATTACAGTCAACCACGTTACCCTGTTGCTTCTGCAGTCGCATAGAAATTTTTAAAGAAATAAATGTTATTCAGTACGAATCGCGTGACATAACTGAGAGGCGTGCGCATGCGCATAATAGAAGGAGTGTGGCGCCACGATCGGGATCGCAGTGACAACCAAGATGGATGTCCATTGTGAATGGTGTTGTATAAACACAGATAAAAGGCAAATAATTATACAGTTTCAGTTTGATGTGAGTTTACTTACAAAGAAGAACAAACCGTTTCGTAATCTTATGACAATACGAAACTAGACGGATACGAGGTAATTCAGAACCGAAGGAATGCTTCCGGGAAACAAGAGAGTGTAAACGACCTTTATTTGATGCAAGGTAAGTTCCCTATCGCTTGACGCCGAAATTTACAATCGGTATGACAGAGTAGGAGGCTGGAAGGAATATAAAATAATGACTAGGAATTGACGGTGAATTGGTGCGTAAGGTTAGATACTGTCAGATAAAAGTGAAAGGATTGTATAACCTTGTGTCTGCAACGATCTACGCTATGCACATAGATTCCTTTACGATATACAATACGCGTGCTGTTCGAGTCTTATTTCTTGTTGTCTGCCTGACGTATGTAGGTAGATCAACAGATATACATAAATTCATGAGCACATATGTTCACCGTGAACAGTTTTGTACTGAAGCTGCGACTGGAGGATGAATGAGTTTGGATTTTTCCAAAAAGAATTTTTCCTATGAATAAATTTAAGCTAGATTCATTCTTTTACATGTCTGTATATTAAAATTCTTAACGGCTCTCAAATATTTTGCGACTTTTATGGGTGTTTTTTTTTTACAATTTAGCTAACTTCAAAGCACTAGTTCTATCGCGGATTGATAATGGCGCCATATGTATGTACTTCTCTTATCATAAACTCCCATCTGAATGATAATATTCGACGTTTTATACTTCTGCAAACTTTATTTGGCGCGGCGCGAGTTCCCATATTGTTTAGATTGCTCGACAATGTTTACGAATTCTAATTACACGAATGCTTTTTGTGCGTTAACAGTGAAGAATACACAAGAAAATGTTGGAGAATCGTGTGGCAAGTACAGACTATGTATAAATGTATTCTGTTGATGGATGTGTACAACAATTTGTATGGTTGAGATACTCGTACGAGTTTATATTCGAAATTTGTGGATGGGTGAACTCACTGGCTCTTTTTTTATCTGCTTTTTTATCTATCTAAAAATATATATTGTATCTTCTGTACTAACGAGCAAGCTGCTACGTGACTTTTTGTATAGGTTTGTGTTTTAATAAGAATTGCCACGGTACTCTATACGGGTTTTTCATAGTTCTTGGAATAGTTTCCACGTAGTTCTTGGCATCCTGATAATCTTGCTTCCGTATCGAATCAATTTTCGTTTTTCTCAAACCTTTTCTTTTCTGTGCGTCAAATACGGCGGATTTGTGTATACGTATAGTCTGTTTTATCTGGCACTGTTTTATCGCGTACCACTTTCCTGCGCTCAGATTCCGTCTAATTGCAACCACTTTTGCTCCCGCTTTGCCGCAATAATTGCTCAATACGTTCAACGTCCGAATGAAATTGAGTTGAGAGAGCAGATAGATGAAACCAATCCTGATGGTAATTTGTTCGTTGATATAAGATCCAACAATTTTAATAATTTCGCGCTCTGACCATTTTCGAAATTGAACTTCTCGTTTGTTACAGAGAGTAAGGGGGGTGGGGGGAGATAGAGAGAGAGAGAGAGAGAGAGAGAGAGAGAGAGAGAGAGAGTAAAAGATTTAAAAAATCACATTTTAAATTAAAAAGATCACATTGCGTAATACTCAACTCGGATTTCATTATACAGATTAAACTGTTCAGGCGATAGATTTTCAATTAATTTATACATTTCATAATAAATTACCTTATAAGGCTTAAGCATGCGTCGAAGTTCACCCGACTCGTTAAGTCGTTCAACTGCGTCTGCATCCTAAAAAAAAAGAAAGAAACAATAAAATCAAATAACCCAAATATCAATTTTCAAAAAAGAAGCAGCCAAATAACCAATAAAAAAAATATATTTTATCTCAAAATCTAAATTGCCACTTCTATCCAAGAACGAAAAAATAAAACATACGTATAATAATAATCTAATCGAAAATGCGTATTTCATCCAAAAGAACCATCAATCTAATTAATACGCATTTGCCAATGCTCTCTATTTCCAGGATAATTAAAATCAAAAGTCAGCGACACTTATAGAGACACGAGCGAATTGCGTTCCACGTGCCTTTTTTTTCACACCAACCACTTATGCCGCATATAAAATAATAATATGACGCAAGCAGATTGGAACGCAGTCCGCGGATACACGGACACGTTAACAGAAATATAGAGAGACAGTTACAGGAGAACAGCTCCAGGTGGTAACATATAGGCAAAGCTCACCATTCGCTCTCGCTCATGTCCTTGGATCAAATAGCTTGACATTTCACTTATGTGTATATAGCTAAGCCACATAGGTTCCCGCCAACTCCCAATCCAAAGTTTCATTCTGTATGTACCAATCATATCCCCAAATAAAATTTTATCCATTCTCAATATGCTTCTCCGCGATGCTAATTGTATAAGGACAACTTGAACTCTCCGTCAAAAATACCCAAAGTACATCTTATGCTATTTATCTTGAGCGCCAAAGAATTCTGTGAATGGAGTCGAAGAAATAGCGCTTGAATGAAATGGTGTCTCATGGCCTCGATGTAACCGACTCTTTCAGCTTCTCACATAACCGATTGGAAGTAGCTATACGTATATGAGACAGTACAGGAAGATTTCATCTCAATTTACAGTACACCAGGTATAGTTTAACGCGTGGACCAGTTGAATGAATCCGGTGTTAAATACACCGTGGGAAAATAATAAAGTTGATAATTAGACGTTATATTAAAAATATTTATCACAGTGATCTAGCTTATAACGTAATTTCCGTATATCATACTGTATGACGTCATTGCTACCGTTACTTGTAATCAACATGTGCCAATGTTATTAGAGACTTATTAATGGCTGATTTTATTTCATACAGGCTGCTGTCAAGGAACATGTACTTGATTGGACAAGATTAAGAAAAGAAGAAAAAGAACGTGCACCCGTATTGCCAAGTCTGGATTTGGCACGAGACAGGAAATGATTTGTCTCTTTCTGATTCTATTTTCCGATACGTAATTACGTACCGGTAATAAGTCGCTTGGAGGAATGATAGACTGATTATCAATTAAGGTACTACGAAGATCCAGATCCGGTATGTGACATAAGCTTATTTACATAGTTATGTGTATAAATAACATGAGTTTATATCTGCAAAACCTATGTTAACCAGTATATCTATATACAGTTCAAAAAGAATCCTACTTCTGACAGCTACTGTACTGATAAGTAGTAGAAAACTCGCTGACAGCGCCACCACGGCAAGTACTGAATACTGCACACTGCAGCAGTAATACTCAACCGGTTGTGGCCGTCCGTCTCGTTGAACATTTCGCACGTTCCATAATGGCCTACGAGTTTCCATTCCAAGCAATGAAGGAACTCAGGTACGAGCGCGTTGGGATCCACAGAATTCCTGTTTTGCTGCTGTTTGCGATTTTAAAACTGGCGACTAGTATACGTCGGCGGCCATCTTTGACATTTCACGTGGACGCTGGGGACTTTCTCGCAGTCAAAAGTCCCTCGTTGCGTAATGGGTCTGACGCTTATGTAAGTCCAAGAGGATTTTTGGAGTACGAAGAGACCACAGGATGTGTATTAGTATATGTATTTATTGGGTTATATATGTATGAATGTGAGATGATAAGAGTGGGGTAAGGTACTTCCTGTTATAAACCAATGAAATTTTGATCTATGAATTTTATATCGTATTAAGGTCGCTCGATATCATCCTACTCGAGGACAAAGCCGCTTACGTTGAACCTTGTAACGTTCAATGAAACATCAGGAACAGCTGCTCACGTGCTGAGGCTTTGGTTCAGTCCTCACTGGGATATTTCGCCGCCTCGTGCTATTGCAGCACGGGTGCCTGCCGTCGATACACGTGGGTGAGCCTGTTTCACTCGTAGAGTCAATAGACTGATAACATGGATAACAACTTTATTGTCAATACCATAGATAAAAATACTATTAACGCGTTCACGATATACAATGAAAATTAGTATGTCTGTGATATAGGCGAGAGTAACTAAGAATTTAGTATTGAAAAAAATCTATTATATACTTTAATAAAAATTCATTGTTACGTACAGAAATGATTAAAATGATTTTTTGGGAAAAAAATTTTATTCCGTTACACGTTCATATCGATAACTTTGAAATTTTTACAATTACGCAAGTACAATCTATATAGTGTGTCGAAAGGGGCGTATAATTACTCAATGGTTGAAAATAAAAAATTCTCAAGGGTTGAAATTCACAGAATAAAATACAAGAGCTAAATTGGAAAAAAACTTTCGTTTATTGCTCAATATTGAAATTCCTTGGTTTTCTTAATTTGTTGAAAACTTAATCACCCACGCATATCCTGTCGTCGGCTTTATCCATCCCCTTGATATTGACGTAGTTCCTCAACTCAATTGCACTACTATTTCTATATCAGGTGGACGCAAAACCAATATGTATTAGCGTACTGAACCAGAGTCTTCGCTATAGCGTACTGAACTACGAATTAGAAACAGACAGATGCACTCTGGTGGCGGATAATAGAAGCTTTGATATACATATAATGCACTGAACGTACCCCAATGTATTGGCCATCTATGAATAACTGTGGTACTTGAATGGTCGTGCATCCAATACGGTCTCTTAATTCAGTCTGAGATTCTGCGCTCATGAACATGTCTCGTTCCTCGTATTTGACCATATGTGTCCTGAGGATTTGCTTGACCTTCATACAGGCGTAATAAGTCTCCCTCACGATTCCCATTGTCGTCGTGTAGACCACAACTTTTCCCGCGTCTTTCGCCTTGTAGTTCTGAAACAAAATAAAAAAAGGTACGTTCTCTTATTAGTACAGCGGTGGCAGCACCATCGACGGGAACGCATACCTATCCTTACTTCGTACTGTCCGCACTTATGCTCGACCCACAAGTTCGCACGCTCCGCAAGTACATGAAATATGGTACGAGATATACATCTTGCGAAATAATAACGATCGAGACCTTTAATTGCGATTATACGGTTGTATGACTACTTTAATAATGCTTTCATATATTTTCCCAGATGGCTTCAACTTCGTGATTCTCACGTAACGATGCAAGATAGTCATTGACATTGAAACGAACCGACGGACAAATTTGCAATTGAGTCTTGCGCTGAAATGAACATATGTCTATTGTTTACATATTTATGAAGTGATGTAAGGAAATATTTATTATTCACCATTTACGCAAAGTTATCACAGCGACCGAGCGATCTAACCTCAAACTGTCATACGGCTACTGCAGACGAAGTTTTTACCACAGCAAAGAGGAAAAAAGGGAGTGAAAAAAAAATAAAAGAAGAAAAAGCACAGTAACCTCACTCTCCACGTCTACGTCGTCGCAGTTTTCTGTCAGGTAATTTAGATTTATGGCACGCTTCGAAAGCGTCCCCTTTAGCCTCAAGGATATGGTGCCTTTTTTTTCTTCTCATTAAGTTTTTTTTTTGGTTTAAAGCTCGCCAACTCAAGCCATTCCAGCATCCTCTTCTGAAATTAAGATATCCTGTATTCACTGGACCTGCAGTCTAATTGCTGAACGAGTGCGATCTTGAAATTCGCAACTTGCTGCCAACTTTAATAAGCTAATCTGGCGCGACTTAAGCGCTATCTCAATCGTCATTGAGACCGTGAGACGGCGATTTCATTTCTAGAAACGAATCCAGTGTCGCTCTATGTATTTTCTCCGTTACGTTAAAAATTTCTCATTAGGTCTAACACGTCTGCTTGCCTAATAATATCTCTGTCTACATGACCTTTTTATGCGTAATGGCGTCTCTACTCTCGATTTTACACTTGGCATATTTGTTCTTTCAATTTGTATTATTTAAGTGCAAACTGGTACGGATACGCTTATACGATAACCAATATGACAGATAATTCAGACTTCCATCGTTCTAGTTTTCATACACGCGAACTTTTTTCCCTGCTATTTACAATATTAGTAATGATAATTCAATCTAATATTATTTACTACTGAATATACTGACATATATAGATTTCATTGATTACGATCTTCTTTGTATAGCCAAAGATTTGCGTATCGAATAGCAGGTATATCAATGTTGACTTTAATGCAAAAAACGAAGATACATTCTCATGAGAATTTCAGTGTACACCATTCTTTACAGTTCGGCGATTCTATCGGATTTGGTTCAAATTCGTATCAGTATTCAATTTAATCGAGAACAGCGACTCTATTTCTTTTCATATCACATCACTCCATATTCAAGTGCATTTACAATCAATGCTTCCCGATACAATGATTCGATGAATATTTCTCATCAGCCGATTGGACTTTATCTTTCTGCTTTCATATATAGGTACTATATTAATCCAGAAATACTATCAACGCTTACGCTGCGTTTGCCGCTTTATCGTCTTCGACCGATTGTGGAAATAGATGTAAGGAAAGGGAGACTTTCCGTTTCGTTACGCAATACCGTTAATGCTGTATTATATAAAAAGCCAACAATTTTTCACACAACCCGTACGCCTTATCTATGCACTAGTTCTAAACCATCAGACCGCAGGCAACATGATGACGTTACGAAGCTCTTGCTGCACTGTAGTCACGTACGGCATACTAATATAATTTATTGCATTTCGCGTAAACGTCCGTTCACACAACCAGTTCGGAGGAACATGCCCTGCATGCTTTCTTATATGCCAGACGCGTTGTGAACGAACGCAGGCGTGCAGTCACCAAGACATTTCTAAGATATTTCTAGCTACGGACTGTGTTTTTTTTTTCTATTCCACCTTTATAACGTACAATTACTCCAGAATGCAGTACGCGGCAATTTTACTTAGCAGCAATAATGGTTACTGCGTGCGGCAGACGTATCTATATCGTACCAATAAGTATGGGCATTGGACTGACGAAACGATCTGGAGACTTTACGACTGAAACGTATCCCCGTGCGAGGACGAAGCCGAAAGAAAAGGAGAGTTTGCGAACGCACGTTAAAAAATTTAAATTGCAATTAGTTCCCGCACTTTTTTCAACGCTGGTACAAAACACGCAGTAGACGATTTTGTGTGAAATGCATAATAATTAAAAGATGGCCGCCTCGTCTCCTTAACAATTATCCCGACCCCTTTGCGCGGACTCTAATTAATTATAAGGGTCCCTCTTTTTATGGAATATTGATCAAGTCATTAGTGGCACGTTATGTAATAATTGTTCTTCGAGCTTCCGTGGCCTTATGAACAAATTTTTACTTTACTTTGAAAAAGTTCAACCGAAGATCCACTGTATGTGGTCTCCGTGCGTTCTTAAAGTCGAGTAATCAGTTGTTCGTTAAACCTGTGCATTCTTTAGATTTGAATCTTGCGCAAATAGGCGATTGCCGACGGTGGCGATCGCTGCTGCTTACATCAAATATTTTTCTTGTTCGCTTACGTAACCGGGAGACTGAGAGTCAATACGGAGAGAAATATAGAGGAGTTAGGAAATGCGAGTGAGAGAGAGAGAGAAAGAGTGAGTAGGAGAGACTACCACTGGTCGCGACCATAGCGGGGAGACGAGAGCGCAGAGATCATGATTTTGTTAAATTAACTTTCACTGCGTAAGATTAGTATGGCGATACTTTGCTCCACGTAACGCGAACAATATGGCGCTGTTCACCTGTTGCAAATTTATGGAGACTACTTCGTTCCGATATAACCTTCCTTTGACTACGGTAGTCAGTGTAACGTCGATAATCACCATGTAAACGTCATTATACGTGAGACCGATTGTTTATATTTTTCATTAAATAATTTTTTTCGACGACTGTACTTCATTTGATATTCGTGTTTGAGGGTCTTTGAGATTTTTAAATGAAGTTTCAAATAAGGATGTGTAATTGAATTGGCATAATCGAGGGTTAGTGTGACTGTCGGATTAATGAAAAATTGTATTTACAACGTTGCAAATTATTTTGTTTCAGGGTAGCATTCATTTGACTACAGTAGTCGGTGTAACGGGGATAATAACTACGTAAACTTTATTGCTGGTGAGAATAACTGTTTAAATTTGTTTTCACTACGTGATTTTTTTTCCTTCGATCAGAGCGTCACTCCCTTTTATTCGTGACTCAGGGTCCTGAAGATTTTTCAACTGGAGCCCAAACGAGGGTGTGTAATTAAATTGGAGTAATTAAGGATAAGTGATACTGGAAATTGGAAAAAAAATCGAATAATATATTCCAATGGATGTTTTTTTCCTGTCTACATCCATTCGTGTTATTAAAGCCTTAATAACAATTGGACGTATGACGTTGGTCATACGCTACAAAACTTCTTTTATTCACGCAGTTCGATACGAGCTCCCTGGTATCAAGACATGAAATGACTAATCCAGTTACAGCATACGAAAGCCATACGTAAATTACAGGTAATTGAGTGAATTAAACGAGTCTTGATAAATTACTATGAATCATCAAACTATGACTCACACCTCAGAGACATGATAAGATAAGGCAAAATATATATATATATATATATTGAAAGATGACATTGTAAGAGAAAATAATAAAAAAGAGAATAAGAAGAAAAAAGGCATAATTGCGCAATGGAAAGATAAAGTATTACTCAGCGACTCCAGCAGTACCGTATGGAATATACATATATCATAAGTTCACGTGGATGAATCTCACTGGTACATATCACTTTGAAACAACCTCTAGGAGAGGCTTAGCAATGCCCACGATTTACATATCTATATGAAATTATATCAGCCACCTGGCGTTCTATTGAAAAGACATTTATGATGGTCAAAGTTTCAACGATTCTCACGAGTCCAGCAATCACGTCGCGAAATGACTCTATCGTAGGCACGTAATGCCACTGGCAGAGCTATCATTAAAATATCTATAATCAGATAGAAAAGTAACGCGTCGAGCATATCCGTAATTCTAATTGAGCTCTGCCATGCACATTGGAGCACCTCGGAATAATTTAAAGCAACAACGTGTGAAGTTGGGTAGTTACGTAGTATTAGTACCTAGCCTCAAATAATGCCGTGATTCGATTTTTGTACGTTTGGAAAAGCGAGTGGTAAATTTTAACACGCGAGTCACGATGTATTCATGAGATTATATATACGGTATATGCATATATATACATGATACATACTACGACCCATGTTACATTAGCTAGAAACAGCCTTAGGTAAAATGGCGTAATGCGTGTTTCGCGTAAAGCGCGTTGTTATTTTGTCCTTGTTCAAAGGCAACCGAACACAGTTAGTCTTTTGCGTATTGATCCTGCGTGTTTTACCCGATGATATGCAATATGTGTGTGGCTGTTGATCTCTACGATTTTATACTTATCGCGCGTACTCGTTGGCGCATGCGCAATACGATTTTTCGAATTTTAATGTCTTTCAATGGCCCGACTGAATTTTTGCGTTAGCGAATACAATTTTTGCAACACTTTAACGTGAACTTTGCGGATCTTCACTGTTATGATCGTTTAATTGATAAATTGAGAATGACGGACATTACCAAGCTTTCGAGTAAGCTGACGCAGTTGTAAAATTCGCAATAGCGGGAATGCAGTTAGATGCACTAGATTTGCGGTGATAAAACGTACATTTTATTTGGCTCAACGTATAAATGCCATGTATAATAGTTCATCGTAATTTTACTTGTTAGATTAATTATAGGTTTACAGATAGTTGGATTGTGATTATAAATATTATTTGTGTGCTGCTGTTTAATGTACGGATACTCAAGTGGAATAGTAGGTCATTAACGAGATGAGAACTTAATGAGAATTTTAGTAATTTT